GTCCATTTATTGTCCATGGTGTTACTGGTGAAGAATATTCATCTAAAAGTCTTAAAGCACTCAAGGCAATTGCTCTAAAGCATTTGACAGATAATGGAAAAATTCTTGCTATTGGACATAGTAAAAATCCTGAGTCAATATATCATAATCCACAGCTATTCCCTCAGATGCTGTCATGGCTCTTTCCATATGGACTTGGTGGAATTGGAAATGCTCTTCAGAAGAATTGAGTATCAGATATTGCACATAAAAGACATCTGCTTATGTACTATGATAAACGGTTTCAGACAGATCCTCACTTCCCCCTCATTGCCTTTAATCATGAGCAGATTAAAGAGTGCACAACTGCTGGATATTTATTAGCCGAGAAGCCCAAGTTTGATCAGATATCTGAACCACTTCTTGATATTGATGTTGAAGTCCTGTCAGATTTAATTAAGCAACTTGAGGATGGTGAACATGTTAAGCCAGAGTCTGAAGAAGAAAAGCTATGCTTCCAGCTGATTAAAGACTTGGACCATGTTGGTGGATTTGTTAAAGGATCAGTTACAAGCAAGAAGTATATGCGAAATGAAATCTGGTCACTTATTTTATTTATTGGTGCACCTTCCTGGTTTATAACTTTTGCTCCAGCTGATAATAAGCATCCAATCTGCCTGTATTTTGCTGATACCAAGGAGAAATTTAGTCCAATATTGAGAGAGGATAATGAACGCTTCAGACTTATTGCACATAATCCAGTAGCTGGTGCAAGATTCTTTCACTTTATTTGTGAGCTGTTTATCAAGCATATACTTGGAGTTGGAGCCAAACATTCTGGAATATATGGTAATACTGATGCTTACTATGGTACAGTTGAGCAGCAGGGTCGACTTACTCTTCATATGCATATGCTTATCTGGATTAAAAGTGCTCTATCACCTCAGGAAATTTGTGATAAAATCATGGACCCAAATTCAGACTTTCAGAAGAAAATTGTTGAGTATTTAGAGAGTGTTCATGTGGGAGAATTTCTTACAGGATCCAAAGATGAAGTCAAAGAAAATATTGAGACTGTTAAAATGAATAAAGATTATCAAGATCCAACTCAGACACTGCCTGTTCCACCACCACCAGAATGTAAAGACTTGTCATGTGAAGGAACTTGTTGCAACTGTGCTGAGCTTGAGACTTGGTGGTCAAAATTCAAGACTACAGTTGATGATCTTATTTTCCACTCTAATGTTCATACTTGTTGAGGCCAGAATTCAGATGAGAAGGCAGCTAAAAAGACTCAACCAGGCTGTATAAATAAATATGAAAACTGTAAAGCCCGTTTTCCAAGACAGACCTATAATCAGACTGAAGTAGATCCCAAGACTGGAGCACTGAACTTCTATCAACCATGAGATGTTCATGGCTGTATTGCACAAGCAGGGGTTCTTGCCAATCTTGGTGACTTTCTTTGCCTCTTATCTAGTGGGTCATTCCACAGTGTACTGTTGGAACACCTTTCAATCTGACTCACGATCTGCAGACATGGGTGTCAGGCAGGGCTCAGGGCTCTTGTCTGTTATCTCAGGGCTCTTCATTGCTCCAGTGATGAAGCTCTTCTACATCAAAGCTGCGCCGTTGAACATGACACTCCTCTCCTTTGTAGATGATGGGACCATTTTGGCCCAGTCCAAACAACTCGATGATAATAATGTGGGCCTATGTAAGGCCTACAAAATTATCTACCTTCTCTTTGTTGCCTTTGCACTTGTTCTTGAACATGACAAGACCGAGCTATTTCACTTCTCATGCTGGCGAGACACATACAACCCATTGCTAGATTTGGGGTACACCCCGCACACTGGCAATATGTCTTTGAAACCCAAGACCTATTGGCGGTACTTGGGCTTCTACTTTGACAGCGGGCTCACCTTTCATGAGCACATCTGCTACTATGCCACCAAGGCATTCACCACCATGCAAGCCATGCGCATGCTTGGGAACTCTACCAGAGGCCTGTCACCTAGACAGTGGCACCTCCTTTATAGATCGTGCATGGTCCCTATTGCCATATACAGTTATTGTCTCTGGTATTTTGATGGCGCCCATAACAAGGGCGCCTTGAACCAGCTCAAATGGATGCAGCGCAAAGCTGCTCTATGGATTACAGGTGCATTCCGCACCTCACCCACAGGCGGTCTTGAGGCCTTAGCAGGTCTCATCCCTGTTCATCTCATGCTGAAGAAGTTGGCGATGTGTGCAGTGTATCGCGTCGCTACTCTCTCAGACACTCATCCTCTCCACTCCATGATGGGCAAGAGGCTTCTCAAGCAGGCTGAGCCTCATGCCCACTCCACTGCCTTGATGACCCCTGCTATGTGGGGGAAAGTCAAGAGCACTGTCATGGAGGTGGACGAACAAGTCCACACCTTAACTGAGAGCTTCGAGCCCTTTGCACCTGAAGCTCACCCCAGCGATCGGTTACTGGACTGCTATGTGGACCGTCTCCACTTTGACGAGCGTGACCCTACCCAGGATAGATGCCCATACCTCGACGAGCTCATCACGACTGCAAGAGCCGACCCTCTAACAGTGCTGGCTGTGGCTGATGGATCTGTCCCTCAGTCTAACCAGTATCAGGCGACTTCGGCCGCTATCATTTTAAAGGGACATTGTGAGCTCGAAAGGACTCGCTACATCTCTGGCAGAGTTACTGCCCCAGATGCGGAACTCAATGCCATCATGTGCACGGTGCGCCTTGCTGTCAAGCAGGCAAACTGCCAACATATCTTGGTATTTACTGACTCTATGGGCTCAGCCCATAAAGCGGTAGACCCATCCGTGCATTCGCGTCAGGCTTTTAGTCTGTCAGTTTGTCGCACTCTCCAAGAGTGGTTCGAGGCAGATGATCTCCACTGCATCACCTTTGTTTACATTCCATCTGCCCTTTGGTGGGACATCCATGGTGAGGCACATAAGTATGTCACTGAGCTTAAAGTCTTGGACATTGCAAGATGGACAATTCTATAGATGCGCTGTGCTCCCAAGCTGTGCACTCAGTCCTGGATTTGTGGAATTCCACTTTCCAGGATCCGACTTATCAGGGCTCTGAATTTTTAGAGCTTCAATGGCCTGACAGGTGGCCAATTCAACCATTGTACCTCAATGGGGGACCCTGGCTTTCATACTTTGAACACAGCATTACTGAGTTTGCTCATGCATAACTGGCCATGTGCCCACACTTCTATAAGCCAGGAACATGTATCAAACCCAGCATTTAGCCAGTGTGATCTCATAAGTCCAGAGTGTGTTTGAGCAGTCAGGGTCTCTGAGGCTGCTGGGGTGAGTTTGCTGGAGATGCTGGGGCCATAGGGATTTGTTTGGGGGCAGGAGGGGGTAAATAAATGACCAAACAACCCTCCTGGGGGTGGGGTAGGGGTAGGGTAGGCCTGTGGGGGGCAGGAGGGGTGGGAAAGGCATGGGAAATCCATCTGAAACAGGCAGGATGGTGGGGCATGCATGATTAGGACATGCATAATAGGCCCCACCAACCCATTTTTAGGCCCCTGCCACACCCAGAACCCACCCTGCCATCCCACTAGCCCCTATCATGCATGCCCCACCATCCCTGCCTGTTTCGGACGGATTTCCCACCCCTTTCCCACCCCTCCCGCCCCCCACAGGCCTACCCTACCCCTACCCCACCCCCGGGAGGGTTGTTTGGTCATTTATTTACCCCCTCCTGCCCCCAAACAAATCCCTATGGCCCCAGCATCTCCAGCAAACTCACCCCAGCAGCCTCAGAGACCCTGACTGCTCAAACACACTCTGGACTTATGAGAGATCACACTGGCTAAATGCTGGGTTTGATATAGAATTATAGCTGACATGGCTGGCACCCATTGGAGCATACTACTGTTGCTTCAAGATCAATGAGCCTCATGGCTGCACTTGCGGGGCTGCCTTGCAGTCCTGCCAGCATGTCCTCTTTTGCTGCCGCGATCAATATTTTACACACTATCCCCAGTTTCTCAGGGATATTGCATCGTTTTTGAAGCACAATCCTACTGCGTTTGGCTTCAACCAAGACCCTTTGGGGGTCAGATAATCAGCGTGGGCAGGGTTATTCCTCCTTTTGGGGGATTTATTGGTGAATTGACACCCTCGGCCCTTAGGGGTCGGAGACCTGCGCCTGCGACGATTCTTTCACGCTTGTTGCCTGCTAGTATAGCGGGTTGCAGCGCTGCTAACTTTCTGTGTCTGGTTTCGGGCAGGCACACCTTTGGCTTGTCAGCCTCAAGACACCCTGCCACCTCCCGGGTGGTGCGACTCTTATTTTCATTGCACTGTGTGGCCTCCAAACAGTGTCTGACGACTTTGGGGTTTAGCACACCTCTCTCTCTCAAACACCCACTTGTCAACAAGCACAAACAACCAGCTCATTGTCTTGCACATTGTCTAGCGCTTTATCGACAAGCCAGAAGACTTCTTTTGATCGTTCGTACCACTCCAGCAAACCATGTCTGACCTCCCACCAAGAGGTTGGGGCTTGAGACCCCCTGGGAGTCATCCTAGGGGCTCAGGCTCTGCCCCACCAGCTCCCCCACCCACATTGGGTGGTGGCTCATCATCCTTGAGCGGTGGTGCCTCCCCAATCTTGCCAGACCCTATCTCGACTCACCTATGAAAAATATGAACAGAATAGATATATGAAACCTGGAAGAAAGGGTCAGAAAGATATTGAAGACATGATAGCAGTAGAGACTGGAATTACTGATGCTGGATGGATGGACCAGTCACCCAATGGACTTGATGAAATTGACAAAACACCTGTTGAGCCAGAAGTAATTCAGAAAGGGTCCAGATGGAAAGCCACTGTTGATGAAGAAAGACAGAAGCTTCTGGCTGAGAGAGGAAAGACTATCTCAAAGTCTGCTCAAAAATCATCAGACTCAAATGAAAATAATGTCCAAGTGGTTGACCAGTCATATCTTTTCAAATCCTTCAAAGCACAACACAAGTCTGATCAGAAACTGATTGATGATACTGTTTATAAAATTTCACTGAATAATGAGCAAGAGCAAGCCTTTAGAATAGTTGCTAATCATGCTGTAGAGCCTAAATATGGACAGTTGAAAATATACTTGGATAGTATAGGTGGAACTGGAAAATCACAAGTCATCAAAGCCTTGGTGGATTTTTTCAAGTCAAAAAATCAGTCACATCGGATAGTTGTTCTTGGTCCAACTGGTACTTCTGCAGCTCTTATTAATGGGTCTACCTATCACTCATTTTTGGGAATTAATCCTGGTGGAAACACAGCCTCAAAAATTGCCCAACTTCAGGCTTGACTTGAAGGTGTTGAGTATATATTTATTGATGAAGTCTCAATGATGTCTTGTATGGATATTTATAAGATTTCTGCCCAGTTAGCCAAAGCTTTGAATGCATTTGATTTGCCTTTTGGAGGAATGAATATTATTTTTGCTGGTGACTTTGCTCAATTGCCTCCAGTTGGTGGACAATCTTTGTTTAGTGAATATGTTGGAACTCAGATACATTCTGGACTAACACCAGATCATCAGAAGGCTGCTATTGGAAAGGCTCTATGGCATCAGGTTACTACTATAGTAATACTTCAACAGAATATGAGACAGACTAGTCAAACTCCACAAGATGCAGCTTTGCAAACTGCCTTAATTAATATGCAATATGGTAAATGTACATCAGCTGATATTGCATTTCTGAGAACTCTACAGGCTGGAAAGCAACTAGAACAGCCCAAAGTATCTGCCAAAGAATTCAGAAATGTTGCTGTTATATGTGGTTGTCATACAGAGAAGGATCAGATCAATCAACTCGGATGTCAGAGATTTGCAGAAGAGACTGGCCAAAGACTTACACATTTCTATTCAATTGACAAGTGGGGCAAGGAGAAAGATCCAAGTACAAAGACCAAGTGGGGTCAGTCAAAAGCTGCTTCCAAGTCTAAACACATTTCTAATGAGATTGATCCAGATATGCAGCAAAATATATGGAAACTTAGACCTGGAGTTACAGATAACTTTGCTGGCAAATTATCTTTATGTCTTGGCATGCCTGTTATGATTAGAAATAATGATGCAACTGAACTCTGTATTACCAAAGGTCAAGAAGGCTTTGTAGCTGGCTGGCAAGCAGAGAAAGGACCCCATGGCAAGCAAGTTCTTGATACACTTTTTGTAAAATTGGATAAACCTGCAAAAACTATTCAACTTCCAGGACTTCCTGAAAATGTAGTACCATTAATGAGAGCTACTAAAACTATTCCTTGTAAATTCCCAAGTGATATTATTGAGAGTATTGAGCATCAGCAAGTACAAGTTTTGCCCAACTTTGCAATGACTGACTATGCAAGTCAAGGAAAAACTTGACCATATAATGTTGTTTATCTTGGAAGCTGCTATTCACACATGTCATACTACACCTGTCTGTCAAGGAGTGCTACTGCTGCTGGAACTATCATTCTTCAAAGATTTATGCCCAAGTTTATTACTCAAGGTTGTTCAGGATATCTCAGACAGGAATTCCATGAGCATGAAGTACTTGATGAAGTGACTAGACTCAGATATGAAGGTCTTCTGCCAGCTTATATTGAAGGCTATACTTGCAATACAATTATTAGACAATTCCAAAGGTGGAAAGGAGCTAACTATGTTCCAGATAAAGTTGATTCAGCTCTTCAATGGTCTGATCAGGATCCTCTTGATATGCCAGTTGTAACTGATAGTCCTTGGACTTTAATTGACAAGTCAACAAAATTAAAGTTGCTTCAGACAATTCCTGTAACTAATTTTGTACCTGCTAAAGGGAGCACTGCTTTAAAGTGTAAAGCCAGTGAGAGTAATATTTCTAAGCCAAAGAAATCCAGACAAATTATTGAAGAAAATAGCAACTCACCTCAAGGATTTATCTGGGATAATCAAGATTATAGCTGTCCATATGATAGTTTATTTAGCATTCTCTATAATCTCTGGCTTGAAAATTCTGATGAATGGACTGAGAAATTATCAAGCATTAATGACTATACAAAGCTACTTATAGAAGGCGTTCAAGATGTTGTTCATAGTAATTCTACTCTAGAAGAGGCCAGAGACAGAGTATGAGAAGAGTTGTATTTTGTAAAGCCAGATAAATTTCCAAAGGGTAGAAATAATGCAAGTGTAGCTGAACTTGCCTTTGAATTATTTAAGACTGATAGTGAAGATGCACAAGTAGAAAAATTCTGTAATAATTGTGACTATACTAGAATCTTTTCTGATACTATTGAATATGCTGCCAATCTTGAAGGATATCAAGTCTCATCAACTCAACATTGGATTTCAGATATAAAAGAAAGTTGTCAAGAGACTTGTCCTGAGTGTAGTGAGACTTTGATATACCAGAAAACTTATACTAAGATACCAAAAATATTAGTTCTTGAGTATCCATTCTGTAACATTAGAACAAGTCATAAGATAAAAATCAAAGTTAATAGAAAGACACATGTACTAAAATTAAAGGGAATAGTTTATCATGGTGATAATCATTTTGTGTCAAGAATTGTAGGCAATGATGGAACAATCTGGTTTAATGATGGCATGACTACTGGTAGACAATGTACAGAAGATGGGCACTTGACAACTCTTACTGATACATCAGTTAGAACATATAATGATAAGAATTTTGTATTAGCAGTCTATGCTTAATTCAATAGCTATAAGGGGTGGTGGGTGGGCATAATTTCATAGAATATTTCTGTAACTAATTACTTGCTATACAAAATTAATCTATATCAATATTAATTATATTTCAGCCAAAGCTACAAGAAGAAAGAAGGCCTCATACATGCCATGCGTAGCAATGGCCCACTAAAACAAGTTCCATGTTGAAGGTCACCTCCATTGGTCGCACTTACAATGGCATGTCATTGACCACCCCTGCTGTTGCCAGCCTGTCCAACCTGGACATTGTTTGCAACTTCATTTGCAATAGCCTTCTGACAGGTACCCCCTTTGAGGCCATACTCCCCTCCTCGACATCTTTCATCAAGATCATTGACATTCCCTACTTTGATCTGACCAATGGAGAGAAGATCACCCAGGAGGCCCTTGAAAAGGCCCTCCTGTACCTCGGTTCATGCTGAAGTCTTTGTGTATCTGAGCACCAAACCTTGGATTGACTGCAACTCTGTGCACTCAATCTCCTGCACAGTCTATTGCAACATCTGGGCAGTGGACCCTTCTGTGCACTCTGGTCAGGCCTTTAGTCTGTCAGTGTGTCGCGCTCTCCAGGAGTGGTTCGAAGCAGATGACCTCCACTGCATCACCTTTCTTTATGTCCCATCTGCTTTGCACTGGGATATTCATGGCAAGGTGCACAAGTATGTCACTGAGCTCAAAGTCAGAGTTGGACGTCGCAAGATGGACAACTCTATTGACGTGCTCCACTCCCAAGCTGCGCACTCAGTCCTGGATTCGTGGAGTTCCACTTTCCAGGATCCCACATACCGAGGCTCTGACTTCTTAGAGCTTCAATGGCCTGACGGGTGGCCAATTCAGCCATCGTACCTCAATAGGGGACCTTGGCTTTCATACTTCAGACACAGTATCACTGAGTTCGCTCACATTTACTGGTGCATAACTGGCCACGCACCCATTGGAGAGGTCTTTGCACTCCCCCAAGTATCCCTATAGGACTTCAGTGGACTCCAGTGGAGTCTGGTAGAAATATATTAGCAGGAACACCAGCCAAAAGTGCCTACTGGAGTCACCACCCAAAGTCTACTGGAGTTCACTGGAGTCTACTGGAGTGGAGTGTCTATCTTCCACTGGACACTCCACTCCAGTAGACTCCAGTAAACTCCAGTAAACAATGCAGAGAGATGTCATAGTCATAGAAGAGAAATGTGACTGATGCCAAGGTTGATGGCCAGTCATGTGACTTTTTATTTGCCTATTCCTTCAGGGTCAGCTTCTGAAACTTTGATGTTATGGCCTCAAATAGAAACAATTAATAAATATATGATTGCTAGGCGCAGACTTGGCATTGATAAAAAGTAATAAAGCCATCAAGTTTGCTGATGCTATCAATATTAGAGTCATATGTGACAAATTAGATTTTGCTAAAATGTGCACTATCTACACAGAGACTAGGGGTGCTAACAATGTGAAATATGCAGGTCACATGACTGTGAGAAATTTCCTTTTTAGGAGAAAATAATTGCAATAACAGGTGACCCTGAATCCACTTCAGTGATGGTATTTGGCTCTATTAGTGATGAGATATAAGCCAAATAATGCCAAAATTTGCAAAAGTAATCTACTTTTTCAGTATTTTGCATTTTTCTTGCCAAGCACAGCAGCTGATGACATCAAATAACTTGATTCAGGGTCAACTAAAGATGCTCTACAAATCCTGATGCTTTTTCCTAAAAAGAATGATGATTAAGCATCTTGTTACATACTCTATATGCTGGACTTGGGCAATTGCCCAACAGACTATTATCTATTCTGATATGTAATAGGTACTGGATAGTAGTCCATTTTGATACATATACTGGAGTCCAGTAAGACTCCAGTAAGACTCCAGTAAGACTCCAGTATCACACTCCAGTAGAGTCCAGTATACTTTCTTACTGGACTCTACTGGACTCCACTGGATAATATGCCAACTCCAGTGGACTCCAGTGGAGTCCTATAGCATTCTGTGGGGGACCACAAAGTACTGCCATTGGAGCGTACTACCGTCGCTTCAAGATTAATGAGCCTCATGGCTGCACTTGTGGGGCTGCTTTGCAGTCCCGTCAGCATGTTCTCTTTCACTGTTGTGATAGATATTTTGTACACTATCCCTGGTTTCTTGGGGATATTGCATCGTTTTTGAAGCACAATCCTACTGCGTTTGGCTTCAACCAAGACCCTTTGGGGGTCAGATAATCAGCGTGGGCAGGGTTATTCCTCCTTTTGGGGGATTTATTGGTGAATTGACACTAGCGGCCCTTAGGGGTTGGAGACCTGCACCTGCAATCATTTCTTTGTGCTTGTGACCTACCGCTGTGGTAGGTTGCGGCGCTGCTAACTTTCTGTGTCTGGTTTCAGGCAGGCGCATCTCTGGCTTGTTGGCCTCAAGACACCCTGCCACTTCCTGGGTGGTGTGATTCTTATCTTCATTTGTGCTGCATGGCTCCTGAACAGCGTCTGACAACTTTGGGGTTTAGTGAGGCCTCGATGGTCTCCTCCCCTTATCCCATGTCACCGTTTTTGTGAGGTGGGTCTGGCTTTGAGGGAGTTTAGGTGTTTGAGCCTCAAGGCTCGTGGTTGGGGGGGCAGACGTCTTTTAGTAGTTAACCTAGTAACCGGGTTGCGCAGCACACGTGTTTTGTAGATAGCGAGCGGGCTGCCATCAAGCACCACTATATAAATTGTTGATATAAAATTAATAAAATAAAATAAAAAATTGCAACATCTGGGACTCCTAGCAGAGAACCCATGCCAAGAAGGCCCTAGGCCAACCAATTTATCTTGCCAGGTGATCCTGTTCTATCAGGCCTGCTGTGTGACACACCAGGGTTCTGCTATGCCAGTGCTGCTGGAAGTGGGGCCACCCTCACCTGTATCAGCTGTAAAAATATAGAAATCCTAGGTAGTTTCCTAACTCTAAGTCTATGTCTGGAAGGGCAATATCCTACCTTCCACTTTGGAAAGAGGGCACATAACAAGATATTTAATAATGATTTTTTTTGGGGAAAAAAGTATCTGGGTTCATAGAGCACCTTTTCATGACCCTGAATCAAGTTGTTTGATGCCATCAGCTGCTCTGGTTGGTGAGAAAAATGCAAATTACTGAAAAAATGGCTTGCATTTTGCAAATTTTAGCATTGTTTGGCTTATATCTTGTCATTGATGGAGCCAAATAGGTCGTGCTGATGGTGGCAGGGTCATCTAGGCCTAGAGTTTCTATTTCAACCATTTCTTTCCAAAAAGGAAATTTTCCACAGTCATGTGACCAGCTAATTTTGCATTTCTGGCACCTCTACTGTCTGTCTAGACATAACAGAAGAGGACTTGAGCAAATTTTTGCAAAGTCCAACTTGTTATATATGACTTTGATGTTGATGGCATCAGCAAACTTGATGGCTTTATTGCTCTTCATCAATGCCAAGTCTGGGCCTAGCAATCATGTATTTATTAATTGTTTCCTTTTGAGGCCATAATATCAAAGTTTCAGAGGCTGACCCTGAAGGAAAAGGCAAATAAAAAGTCACATGACCTGTCATCAGTCTTGGCATCAGTCACATTTCACATGCTGAGCACTCAGTAACCCCTCCATGATAATAGAAGAGCCTTCCCAAAATAGAAGATAGGATATTGTCCTCCCAGATGTAGACTTAGAGTTAGGAAACTACCTAGGATTCAAAAAAATTCTAGCTTACATGGCTGCTCTGCCACCTCCTGGGTGGTGCTGGTCTTATTTTCATTTGCACTGCATGGCCTCCAAACAGTGTTCAATGACTATGGGGTTTAGTGGGGCCTTGATGGCCTTCTCCCCTTATCCCACATCACCGTTTTCACGAGATGGGTCTGACTTTGTGGGAGTTTAGGCATTTGAGCCTCAAGGCTCGTGGTTGGGGGGGTGGACATCTTTTAGTAGTTAACTTAGTAACTGGGTTGTGCAGTGTACGTGTTTTGTAGATAGTGAGTGGGCTGCCATTGAGCACCGCTATATAAATTGTTGATCAAAAAAAACAAAAAAAACAGTGCTCATATACTCAGTTGGATAACCTGAAGTATTCATAGTGGTGGTTGGATCAGGGTCAGAGACAACAGATAGGGTGCGGGAGCAGGATCATGAATTACGAGAAGGTGGTGTTACTTTGTCAGTCTGATCTGATGCAGGATTTCAGTACTCAGTGAAACTCTGTCTTGAATTAGACATACTATTGAAAAACTCAAAAAATGAACTGAAAAACCCCCTCATGGTGGGCTCCAATTGTGTCAGCAAACAAAGGATCAGTTCCTGGGTTTCACCAGAGAAACTTTGGATTGATGAATGCAACTGCAACTTCAATGATGATTGGTGGCCAAGTGTCACTTTGGCATTTGAAATAGCCCATTCCATCCATCAAGAATGCAACTGCTGCAATAGCAGCATATTCTCCCTGAACTTCTCAGTTTTGCATGACAATATAGCAAATGTTGATGCTGTGTACATTCATAAACTCCAATGGCGTGCCTCAGCAAATAATGGGCTTCTTCTTCCAATAGAAGCTGCTTGTATTGAGGTTGTAGGTGCCAGCAGTGCCATAATAGCATCCAGGTTCTTCCAAGTGGTGGATATCCAAACAATCAACATACAGAATCTTGAGGTGTAGAATAATGTCAAAGTCTGTCAAGGTGAAGGTATATGGAGATACCCATTTGACTGCAAGCAACAGCTTCATGTAGTTTGTTGGTCGATGGCTGCAAGATGTTGGTGGCATGCAAAAACGATTGCAGGCCAGTTGAGATATTTCAAATTGAATGAAAGTCGCTTGGGGCTCCAACTCTTTGTAATTGATACGCAGGCTGCTGACTTCAATTTGGATGTTGTTATTGCTGTCATCATCAGAAGAGTGGCTAAAGGTTTGGAAGACAATGCTGCTGGCAGTGCTGGAATTTTTGGAGGGTGGAGGTGTAGGTGGTAGGACATGAGCCTGAGCAAGTGCAATGTGTGCAAATTGGAAAAGAGCAGCAAAGGAGGTGTTAGGCATAGCAAAGATTTTGGTCTGAGTAGTGGTAGAGGTGGTAGTGTTGGGGAAAGAAGAAAGCATAGACAGTGGCCGATCTTTTACAGTCAAAGTCTATTTGTTGACATTGATGTGATAGCCATCAAAAACAGGGTGCATCTTTGGCTGACTCCTAGAACTGGCTTCTGGATTTACTTCCTGTTTTAGATGTGTACATGAGATTTCTGAATTCAAGTCTTCATTGGGATCTATATTGGCCTCTCTCTCTTCAGTCATTGTCACTGCTGTGATCCTGCATGAAGGCATGATTTCTGGTGATGTATGGGACTAGCCTGCCAGCGTGAATTCTCTTCTCCATTTTTGCATTATTACATTCCTTGGCTTCGAAACCTCCTGACGCTGAACGGGCTGTGAGGAGATAGGGTCCTAGATAATGTTTGTGTGTCTTGCAATCATGCCAAATGTGATACTGATCATTGCATATCAGGACCATGTCACCAACTTTAAACTTGTATTGGCTCATCCGCTTATGGAACTGACACTCAAACTGATCTTTTGAAGTGAATCATGCTTTCTTCAATGTCTCTGCCACATGTGCAATATCTTGTGGATACTTGGTCATCTGTCAAATTTGCAATGCCAGTAAGTCACTGGTAGGCATATCCAGCTGGAATCCTTGAATTATAAAAGTAGCTTTGGCAAGGTCTAACACTGAGAGATGGAGCCATCAGCTGCAGCCAGTACTGTTAGTGGGTCAGCCCTTGCAATAGCGATGAGCTCGTCAAGATACAGGCACCTGTCCTGGGTAGGATCCACCTGTTGCTGTCAGCTGATATATTGATTATTGGCAGTTGCCCAATATGAGGGATGCATCAGGGAGGGCAGTTCTCCAGGCCTTAAAACACTGGTATTGTAGGCATGTTTTGCTCTAGGTGTGACAGCTTGGGCAATTGCCCAATTTCCTTTTTGGGAATTTTTTGTGCAGGATTGTAGATCATATTGAGGTGATCCTGATGGTACTTGAATGACATCAGCAGCATTAGTCATTGTTGAGAAAAATGCAAAACAAAGTTGATTCCTACAGTCATGTGACCTGTTATCTGAAGAAATATCAATAGCCTCTAGCAATTGTCTCTGTTTTATAGGGCTGGGAAACTGCCCTCCCTGATGCATTGCCAGTTTTGGGCAACTGCCCAGCTTCATACATATCACTGACATCACTGGCTGATACAGGAATATCTTATCAAAGAGGTAGGGATATATGAAGTCATGCCAGTCAGCATGAGAGCGAGGGTTGGCATGAGGGATCTTTGCAGAATGAATCTTCATCCTGTCAAGAAGTCGGTTAGTAAGATTATGCAGCAGCTCATAGGGTCCATTGACAGCGCTGAGCACAGCTTGAAATGTGGCTTCAAGGTTGGCGTGTTCTGAGTGGCTGAAACTGTCATTGCTATCAGGTGAGCTGTCACAGGAGGGTTTCTTCCATATTCCATTGATTCGTGTTGGAAGAGGTACCATCTCTGTTTTGTGGCAAACGAGCAGCTGTAGAGGTGATGGTGATGACAGTGGGGAGCTATCATCATCTCCTGATGATGGCAAAGAGCTTTCAAGAAGAGGAGGGGATGAGGAATGCACAGCTTGGATGGACATCCAGTCATCATTGTTGTTGTCGTCATCATTGTCATTGTCATTGTTGTTGTCAGGATAGACAACATCAAATGCACTTTCTGGGTGCTGTGGGGATTCATGGCCAAGGCTAGGGTTGTCAAGAGTTCATGCAGTCTGTTGAACAAGTTCTGAGGTGGTGTGTTGTCCAGGCCCTGATAGAATGCTGAAATTGGCTGTAGTTATTGGATTTGACAGCGTGACAGTAGAAAGAACCGATGCAGGTGGTGACAAATAGGCTTGCGAGATGTTGTAGTGAAAGACTGGAGATGAATCGAGGGGCAGCGCAGATGTAGCATGAGGAGGGGCTGTGTTTTTGAAGTCCTTGCTGTCCGAGTTGTCCACATAAATGTTCATATCATCATCACTTAATGATTTGTCGCTTGTAGTGTACTCACTTGAGTCAGAGTCAGGGTCATAGAAGATAAGTTGATAAACCGAGTTGGGGAATGACAGGGCTGTATGTGTGAGTAGCTGTTGGACTGCGGGGAAATGGTAGAGCACGCACCCATCAGCTGTTTGGCCACAGACAGACAATCCCTCATGCAGGGACATTGGAATCACGATGCCGTCCTCAAAATCTTTGTCTCCCCACAAGTACCAATCAACATCTTCCAAAAATTGCTTCTTGTCGCATGTAAGGGTGAGGTGCAAGCATTTGTTGAGGTCTGGAGGGTCCAGGGAGCCGCCGGAGCCAAAGAAGAGGTTGGAAGAGTCGAATATATGGGTTTTTGGGTTTTTGAGGACAACCTTGTAGCAAAATTCAGGGGTGGGAGCGTGAGCAAGATTTGGGTTGGCACTGGTGGTCGTAGAGGTGTGTCTGGGCACTTCCCAAAGTGGCGAACTATTGCGAGGTGTCATGGGGGGCTCAGATGAGTCTGTAGGCATAGAACGAGCATTTTTGGCACTTCTATAAGCTAGGTAAATGTATCAAACACTGTATTTAAACAGGGTATACTCACATGTCAGGACTGTGATTAAGCAGTCCACCCACAGAGAGGCCATTGCCATGCATGCTAGGGCTCAGTGTTGTGGGCAGGACCTGTCAACACAAGCAAACAATGCAAGGAACAATGCTCAGGCATTGTTCCTTGTTGTTTTTGGCGCTCCTGCCCCCATTTTCGACAGGGAACAGGTGTCAACTATGAGGAAACATATTCCTCATCATTGTGCACCATTTCCCCCATTGTCAGGGGGCAGGATTAGATGGATTAGGCCAGGTGCGTTTGGATGATGTGGCCTTTTCCCAGGGCCTGTAGCTATTTTTAGATAATAATGTAATTACAATGACACATCTCTTGTAAAGCTCTCGCTGTCATCTGTCATGACGTCCGGCGAGCTTGGGGGGGACCAAAAAAATAGCAAAAAATCATATTAAATTGAAATAAAATGTATACATAGCTCTACCAGCCATCCACTATGAGATCAGGAGAAAATGAATAGAAATGACATGTCACAACACGTCGTTTCTACTCTGCTGCTCATGGTCCCTGCTCTTTCATAGCAAAAAAATGCAAAGAAATCATAATATATTGTAATAAGATAAATACATGCTGCAGGTGGCGAGTAGAGCCACCTGCTATGAGATAAATACCAAATGAGCAGAAACAGCATGCTATGACACGCCGTTTCTGCTCAGGGGGACAGGTGGTCCCCCTCCCACCCCCTCTCTGCTCAGCAGGGTACTCTCTTCCCCTCCAGTGCTCGCTGGGGGCCCACTCTACCCCTCTACCCCCTCAGTTCTCCCCATCCACTGCTTTTTTTTTTTTTTTTTTGATCAACAATTTATATAGTGGTGTTCGACGGCAGCCCACTTGCTATCTACAGAACATATACACTGCCCAGCCTGGTTAAGATGTCCGCCCCCCCAACCACAAGCCTTGAGGCTCAAATGCCTAAACTCCCACAAAGCCAGACCCATCTCATGAAAACAGTGATGCGGGATAAGGGGAGGAGACCATCAAGGCCCCGCTAAACCCCATAATCATTGGACGCTGTTCAGAGGCTGCACAGTGTAATGAAAATAAGAAAAGCACCACCTGGGAGGTGGCAGGATGTTTTAAGGCTGACAAGCCAGAGATGCACCTGCCTGAAACCAGATGCAGAAAGTTAGCGGTGCTGCAACCCACCATAGCAGTGGACTGCAAGTGCAAAGAAATGATTGCGGGCGCAGGTCTCCAACCCCTAAGGGCCGAGGGTGTCAATTCACTGATAAATCCCCCAAAAGGAGGAATAACCCTGCCCGCACTGATTATCTGACCACCTGTATCAGTTAGAAAAATATAGAATACAAGACAGTTTCCTAACTATGAATTTAAGCCCTGGAGGGCAATATGCTACCTTCTGCTTTGGGAAGGCTCTCCTAATAAGAGGGAGGGGTTGCCAGGTGCCCAGCATCTGCAAGGGTGATGAGGAGGGGGTAAATAAATTAGTAAGCATTCATTTCCGGGGTGGGCAGGTGGTGGGAGGTGCAGGAGGGGGTGGAATGGGGGTGGGATAGGCCAAGCAGGACCCCAGGGCACTGCAGAGAACTGGTCATGTGACCTGTTTGCTCTGCAGCCTCAACTGGGGCCATTTTTTGTGAAAAAAGTGCCCAGGGCCAATGTGATAGTATGTTACTGTATGTCATAAAAAAATCAGGAGAATCTGGAATCTGGAATGTTGCGAAACGGTGCATATGAGGTGTCACCTTAACTTGGCACATGTTTATTTTTAGCACAAGCTGCTAAATTGGGATCTGCCATCAAAATAGCCATTGCTGGCACATTTCAGGCTCGTTTGGCTTCCCCCTGGGTGTAAATTGATGGGAACGATGACGCAATAATTTTGAGGGAATTAATAGCTACCTGTAGACACCCAGAATGTGGGAATACAACCATTTTTGGTGATGTTATGGCCTAAACTGTGCTTCTATGCACAAAAATGCGAAAATGCGCACCTAATGCTCTGCTTCTCATGCATGCCTGCCTCATAAAAACTAGCCGATAATTTAGTATGCTACTAGAGCTTTAGAACGAGCCAATAATAATGGCCTTGCATGCATTATTGGTTATGCAATGGGCCTTTCAATGTTTATGTGCTAAAAAACCGAAAAAGCGCACTCAAATCTCTATGCCACACATGTATTTATCCTTCCAAAACATTATGCGTTCAGATAGACATTATTAAAGGCTACAAAACGCGCTATTCAGCGTCTCCACGCATTCATTTGTTCCAAAGATATACCTACAACACTCCTCATCCCTCAATATCACAAAATGCAAACTTCTGTATCTCCCCCAATTCTTATCCAAGACCTGTGGAACTTTTCAGTCAGTCTCACCCAGTTCCCTAGTCATCATTTATATTCACATAGCATGGTATAGACTTCCCTTTAATATAATATAAGCACCCCTTCCTCCTCCCCCTGAAGAGCCAGAAATGCGCCCTCCATTTCCCATTCCCCAGGCTGTTTGTGTGAGCTCTGACATATATGCATATTAATAGTAGCCATATAGGTACCTCCATGCAAGAATACAGGAGTTAATAATGCCAAATGCACTTGCAGTGGCCAATTTCGGGTTTTGTACCTATAATCACCTTGTTTTCCCCATGGGATGCCCAATTCTTCACCAATCTTCAAGAAGAAACATGTCCTGGGATCAGAACGATCTCCTCTTGAAATTCTGACACCTCCGAGACGACCAATGTGACACCTTAGATAACATAAAAATCGAACTGATTGCCACTTTTAAGGAGATCAAGGATATATATAATTGATCAGACAATGCAGAAACATTCTACTGACTACTTCTAAGTGTCCTCAAAAAGTTCTATTGTGATTGGGTCATTGTGGAAGACAGGAGGTCTGAAATGAACCTCAAACAGACTGGTGATGAGTGGTGATCACCATATTGCCTAGTTTGTCAAATGTGTTCACTCTGGAAACTGGAGGTAGTATCATTGCTCACACCTCTGAGAGGGCTTTAAAAAACACCTGATAATTACTCTAATCTATAATATCTATTTTAAACATATTTTTACAAAATTTCAGAGCAAGGACTATACCTCCAATCCGAGGTAGAATCTTGGAGAGGGCAATTGAGAAGGCAGAAGGACAGTTGCATGAATAACATATTCAGTTCTTATTCAATTTGTGTTGGACCTTTTCTATATCACTCTAACAGTAGTATAGTAAGTATTCTGAGCTATCCGAGGAGATTTGGCACACTAGAGGACATGCCAGAAGGATGCCATGTCCACCATCAACATTGTGGGAATCTCCTGGGCAAGAAGGTGGAAGTGTCTTTGGTAATGGAATGGGGGTGTTTCTACACAGTCTTGAGGGCAGAAAAAGAAGGGAGGGTGATAGGATAGTGTTCAGATTATGTTGGAGTGACAGGAATAACCCCAGTTTTCCTTGAAGGGATATAACAGTGCTCATTTTTGATTTTTCTGGTATGTTCTGAAGTGTTGTAGGTATATCTTTGGAACAAATGAATGCGTGGAGACGCTGAATAGCGCGTTTTGTAGCCTTTAATAATGTCTATCTGAACGCATAATGTTTTGGAAGGATAAATACATGTGTGGCATAGAGATTTGAGTGCGCTTTTTCGGTTTTTTAGCACATAAACATTGAAAGGCCCATTGCATAACCAATAATGCATGCAAGGCCATTATTATTGGCTCGTTCTAAAGCTCTAGTAGCATACTAAATTATTGGCTAGCTTTTATGAGGCAGGCATGCATGAGAAGCAGAGCATTAGGTGCGCATTTTCGCATTTTTGTGCATAGAAGCACAGTTTAGGCCATAACATCGCCAAAAATGGTTGTATTCCCACATTCTGGGTGTCTACAGGTAGCTATTAATTCCCTCAAAATTATTGCGTCATCGTTCCCATCAATTTACACCCAGGGGGAAGCCAAACGAGCCTGAAATGTGCCAGCAATGGCTATTTTGATGGCAGATCCCAATTTAGCAGCTTGTGCTAAAAATAAACATGTGCCAAGTTAAGGTGACACCTCATATGCACCGTTTCGCAACATTCCAGATTCCAGATTCTCCTGATTTTTTTATGACATACAGTAACATACTATCACATTGGCCCTGGGCACTTTTTTCACAAAAAACGGCCCCAGTTGAGGCTGCAGAGCAAACAGGTCACATGACCAGTTCTGCAGTCCCGGGGTCCTGCTTGGCCTCCTGCACCTCCCACCACCTGCCCACCCCGGAAATGGATGCTTACTAATTTATTTACCCCCTCCTCATCACCCTTGCAGATGCTGGGCACCTGGCAACCCCTCCCTCTTATTAGGAGAGCCTTCCCAAAGCAGAAGGTAGCATATTGCCCTCCAGGGCTTAAATTCATAGTTAGGAAACTGTCTTGTATTCTATATTTTTCTAGCTTACATGGCTGGGCGAGCAACGAACAGGCGGAATGAGCAACGTACAAGCCCAATGTGTGACGAATGGGCAGAACGTGCAATGAACAACAGATCAGGCCCCATGAGCAGCGGATGGGGTACCCTCTCTGTTCCATGATGGGCAAGAGGCTTCTCAAGTGGGCTGAACCCCATGCCTGCTCTGCCGCCTTGATGACTCCCACTATGCAGGGGAAAGTCAAGAGCACTGTCATGGAGGTGGACGAGCGTGTCCACACCTTAACTGAGAGCTTTGAGCTCTTTGCACCTGAAGCTCACCCTGGCGATTGGTTACTGGACCGCTATGCAGACCGTCTCTGCTTTGACGAGTGCAATCCCATCCAGGATAGGTGCCTGTATCTTGACGAGCTCATCGCGACTGCAAGGGCTGACCCACTTACAGTACTGGCTGCGGCTGATGGCTCTGTCCCTCAGTCTAACCAGTATCAGGCGACTTCAGACACTATTATCTACAAGGGACAGCACAAGCTCAATAGAACCCACTACGTCTCTGGCAGGGTTACTGCACCTGATGTGGAGCTCAATGCCATTGCATGTGCAGTGCGCCTTGCTGTCAAGCAGGCAAACTGCCAACATATCATGGTCTTTACTGACTCTATGGGCTCAGCCCATAGAGCTGTGGACCCCTCCATGCATTCTGGGCAGGCTTTCAGTCTGTCTGTCTGTCGCGCTCTTCAAGTGTGGTTCAAAGCAGATGACCTCCGCCACATCACCTTTGTCTACGTTCCATCTGCTCTGCGTTGGGACATCCATGGTGAGGTGCACAAGTATGTCACCGAGCTAAAGGTCAGAGTTGGACATCGCAAGATGGACAATTCTACAGACACGCTATGCTCCCAAGCTGCACATTCAGTCCTGGACTTGTGGAGCTCCACTTTTCAGGATCCTACCTACTGGGGCTCTGAATTTCTAGAGCTTCAATGGCCTGACAGGTGGCCAATTCAGCCATTGTACCTCAATGGGGGACCTTGGCTTTCATACTTCGGACACAGCATTTCTGAGTTCACTCGCGTTTGCTGGTGCATAACTGGCCACGCACCCATTGGAGCGTATTATCGTTGCTTCAAAATCAATGAGCCCCATGGCTGCACTTGCAGGGCTGCCTTGCAGTCCTGCCAGCACGTCCTCTTTTGCTGTCGTGATCAATATTCTGTACACTATCCCTGGTTTCTCAGGGATATTGCATTGTTTCTGAAGCACAACCCTACGGCGTTTGGCTTCAACTGAGCCCCTTTGGGGGTCGGATACAGCCATGTAAGCTAGAATTTTTTAGAATCCTTGGTAGTTTCCTAACTCTAAGTCTATGTCTGGGAGGGCAATATCCTACCTTCTATTTTGGGAAGGCTCTCCTATTACCATGAAGGGGTTACTGAGTGCTCAGCATGTGAAATGTGACTGATGCCAAGACTGATGGCTGGTCATGTGACTTTTTATTTGCCTTTTCCTTCAGGGTCAGCCTCTGAAACTTTGCTATTGTGGCCTCAAAGGGAAACAATTCATGAATACATGATTCCCAGGCCCAGACTTGGCATTGATGAAGAGCAATAAAGCCATCAAGTTTGCTGATGCCATCAACATCAAAGTCACATATAACGAGTTGGACTTTGCAAAAATTTGCTCAAGTCCTCTTCTGCTATGTCTAGACAGACACTAGGGGTGCCAGAAATGCAAAATTAGCTGGTCACATGACTGTGGAAAATTTTCTTTTTGGGAAGAAATGGTTGGAATTGAAATCCTGGGCCTAGGTGACCCTGCCACCATCAGCACAACCTATTTAGCTCCATCAATGACAAGATATAAGCCAAACAATGCTAAAATTTGCAAAATGCAAGCCATTTTTTCAGTAATTTGCATTTTTCTCACCAACCAGAGCAGCTGATGGCATCAAACAACTTGATTCAGGGTCATCAAAAGGTACTCTACAAACCCAGATACTTTTTTCCTCAAAAAAAATCATTATTAAATATCTTGTTATGTGCCCTCTTTCCAAAGTGGAAGATAGGATATTGCCCTCCCAGATGTAGACTTAGAGTTAGGAAACTACCTAGGATTTCTATATTTTTACAGCTGATACAGGTGAAGCACCCAAAGAGGCCCAACGAGCACCCAAAGAGGCAGAGGGGAGGGTGGATGGGCCCCCCATGAGCAGCAGAGGGGACGGATGGGCACTCTATGAGCAGCAGAGGGGGCAGAGAGCATGGGTGGAAAGTGCGGAGGAGGTGGAAGTGGCCCCACAAGTGCACGAGGGGTTGAGGGAGCCCCAACGAGCACAGGAGTGGGCAGAGAGGGCAGAAGGGCCAGGGGGGACCCATGCCTGCCTCTCTGAGCAGAAACGGTGTGCTATGCACCGTTTCTGCTCCTTTTACCTATATTCCATAGCAGGTGGCTCTACTAGCCCCCCACATCCTGTATTTTTTAATGTACAATTTAATATGGTTTTTTTTGCATTTTTTTTGTTGCAAAAGGGCATGGACCAAGACCAGAGCAGAAACAACATGTCACGATGCATTGTTTCTGCTCATTACATAGTGGGTGGCTGGTAGAGCCACCTGCACCATGTGTACATTTTGTTTCAATTTAATACTATTTTTTGCTATTTTTTTGGTCTACCCTGAGCTCGCCAGACATTGTGACAGATGACGGCGAGAGCTTTACAAGAGATGTGTCATTGTAATTACATTATTATCTAAAAATAGCTACAGGCCCCAGGAAAAAGCCGCATCATCTAAACGCACCTAGCCCAATCCATCCAATCCTGCCCCCCATTGAAAACAGGGGCAGGAGTGCTGAAAACAACAAGGAACAATGCTCAGGCATTGTTCCTTGCATTGTTTGCTCATGTTGACAGGTCCTGCCCACAGCATTAGGCCCCGGCACACCTGGCAGGGCCTCTCCATGGGTGGACTGTTTAATCACAGTCCTGACATGTGAGTATACCCTGTTTAAATACAGTGTTTGATATAGATTTCTAGCAGACATGGCTGTTTTTGGGGCGTGATGCATCAATTCTGGGCTCCGAGAGGTCTCCAAGGGCTCTATCTTTGTCCTGGCATGTCTGAGTTTTGTTTTTGAGTGTTTCTTTGATGGAGGAAAGTGTGACCTGAGTGACTGTCACAGTCTCCTGGCAGTCTGGGGTGAGGAAACATAAGCCACCAAAGACAAGGATCGTCACGAGGCATCTTAAAATGAATGTAAGATGGTCCTTTGAAAGAGAGACTTTCTCCATGCAGGTGTACGTTCATATGAATGTTTTCAAAGAGGAATTTGACGAAATAATCCCTGGCAACAGCATCAAGTCCAATTCCAAGAAGAACACCTCAGGAGGTGATGATCTGCATGGGATGGGAGACAGAGATGGATTCTCCAAACCTGATAGCTGCCCAGATATGGTTGGTGGCTACAAGACCACATTGAGCTTCAAGTGGCATGTCGCTTAGCCATGCAAGAGGTGGCAGTGCAGGATTGATTGATGTCATCATGCTGGTTAAAAATAGGGGTAGTTTGAAAGAAATTGGTGGATGCAATTTGAATAACTGAGTATGTTCTGGTTTAGAGAATTCATTGAGGGTGTCTGTGGCTTCTCTTATAGGGTTTTGAGACAACTTTAATTGAATTTTCAATGATTTATAGTTGAGTCCTGGCCTCTTGTGGTTGTGACACTCAGGTGATTGATCTTTGGAGATATTGTCATTTGGGGATTGCTGTGCTTCTTTCCGTGTAGTGTCTAATCCACTCTGTTGACTTCTTTGAGGTTGGGTGGCTATGATCGGTTCTTTGTCCTGTTGTCAGATAGTTGCTGGCATCTTTCCATTGTCCTTGGAAACTTCATTGTTCTTGAAAACCTCATTGTTCTCAAAAATCTCATTGTTCTCAGATTTTGCATTGTTCTCAGAAAGTTCAATGTTCTCTTGTTTTGAACAGGCCCATTGTTCTCTATAATCAAACTCTGTACAATCATGTTTGCTTGACTGCTCAGTTGAGAGAGTTTCAACTTTGGGACTCAAGGGTATTCTAGCAATTTCTTGATCTGAGTTTCCAGAATTAGAAGATGATAAGATTAGATTTCTTGATTCTGGGAGGTGTGAACTATTTATTTGGGCAGCAGATTGCTCAAAGGCTTTTGCAAAGATTTCAGTTATTGCTGCATCAAGGCTATTTTCCCAGGAAGAAGTGAACATCTCTGGCTGTAAAAATGGCTCCATAACTGATGATCGCTGTGGTGTATCCTTAAATTCTTGTGACTTCGAGTTATATCTAAGGCTTTCAATATTCCAAATTCTCCTTAATGGATCTGCACAATACTCTGATGGACTTTCATTGTCTTGCATGCAGGATTTCTGGGTGACAGCATGGACCATAGATGGTCAAATTCTTTGAATTGGCTGATTAACTCGTTTCTCAGGCACAACAAGTAATTCATATTTGGCAGTAGGCTCTTTGCAGAAGACTAAATAAGTTTCTTTAGGTCACTCATCAATGGAGACTAAGTTTCCACACTGCCAAGATTGTCCGAGAAGAAGCTCAAAAGGTACAGTTTCTCCAATGTAGGCTTCTGTTTCTGTCTCAATTCCTCCACAGCACAGATTAACTCTTTCAACAAGTCCTTTCAATTCACCTTCACCACTATTTGCATCATTCATGCGTGTCTTCTTTGTTATGTCGACTGGTAGACCAAGTTTTTGTGCAACCTTCTGATGCACAATGTTTAGCTCTGAGCCAGTGTCAATAATAGCGATGACTCCCATAACGAGGTCTTTACACTCCTCCACGTATCCCTATAGGACTCCAGTGGACTCCAGTGGAGTCTGGTAGAAATCTATTAGCAGGAACACTGGCCAAAAGTGTCTACTGGACTCCAGTGGAGTTCACTGGAGTCCACTGGAGTCACCACCCAAAGTCTACTGGAGTCTACTGGAGTGGAGTGTCTATTTTTCACTGGACTCCTATAGGACTTCAGTGGAGTCCAGTGAACAATGCAGAGATGTCATAGTCATAGAAGAAAAATGTGACTGATGCCAAGATTGATGGCAGGTCATGTGACTTTTTATTTGCCTTTTCCTTCAGAGTCAGCTTCTGAAACTTTGATGTTATGTCCTCAAATAGAAACAATTAATAAATATATGATTGCTAGGCCCAGACTTGGCATTAATAAAAAGTAATAAAGCCATCAAGTTTGTTGATGCCATCAATATGAGAATCACATGTGACAAATTGGATTTTGAAGACAATATTGCTTGATCTATACAGGGACTGGGGATTGAAATATGCAGGTCACAAGACTATGAGAAATATTATTTTGTTGAGAGAAAATAATTGCAATAAAAGCCCTAGGCTCAGATGCTTCTGAATCCACTTGAGTAATAGTATTTGGCTCTATTAATAACAAGATATAAGCCAAATAATGCCAAAATTTACAAAGGTGACCTATATTTTTTTTGATATTTTGCATTTTTCTTGCCAAGCACAGCAGCTGATGACATCAAACAACTTGATTCAGGAACAACCAAAGGTGCTCTACAAATCCTGATGTTTTTTTCTGAAAAGAATGATTATTAAGCATCTTGTTACATACTCTATATGCTGGACTTGGGCAATTGCTCAACAGACTATTATCTATTCTGATGTGTAATAGGTACTGAGTAGTAGTCCATTTTGATATATATACTGGAGTCCAATAGAGTCTGGTAAGACTCCAGTAAGACTCCAGTATCACACTCCAGTAGAGTCCAGTATACTTTCTTACTGGACTCTACTGGACTCCACTGAACTCCACTATACCTTCTTACTGGAGTCCACTGGAGTCCACTGAACTCCAGTATAATTCTACTGGACTCCAGAAAAAGCCCTATACCAGAAGTGTGACCAAAGTGTCACTTTGTTTGACTTTGGGCACATAAGGCAAATTGGATGATCTGTACACTAAACGTCACTTTGACACAAGTCCTCTTGCTAGCAAAACACTTTTGAACACTTTTAAAACAAAAAGTGTTGGAAATGTATCATTTTTAGAGCACATAATCTTGATGATATTCCTCAAAGCATAAGCTCATGTTATTTGAGAGGCTGAAATCTGATATATTTATATCTAATAGTAAATTAAATACATGATGTGCAGTCAGTTGTAGTTATATGAAGCTGTAGACAGTCATGGTCATATTGACATTTGTAGTCTTGCATGAAAGAGGGGTGAGCTGGTGATGGTTGGTGGGGCAAGTTGGTGATGGTTGGTGGGGCAAGCAGGCAATGGTTGAGGGAGTGAGTTGGCAATGGTCAAGGGAGCGAGCAGGTGATGGTTGGTGGGGTGAGTTGGTGATGGTCAAGGGAGCGAGCTGGTGATGGTCGGTGGAGCAAACAGGCAATAGTTGGTGGGGTGAGTTGGCAATGGTTGAGGGAGCAAGTGGGCAATGGTTGAGGGAGCAAGTGGGTGATGGTTGGTGGAGCAAGTGGGTGATGGTCAACAGCATGAGTCAGGGAATACCTTCAACAGACCTGAATTGACTGTTAGCTACACAGTAGACGTTCAACTGCAGTACATACCTGGGTGTTCATGTTTGCTCCTATTGACTGTGTCATTCTACATTGTGATCATATAAGCAGACTTGAGTTTAATGTTCAAATTGAAATACAGTGCACCTGGCTTCTTGCAGATAAGCAGGTTAGACCCTCATAGGAGGGTCTAACATAGTAGAAGTTTTCTATAAAAGAGGAACAACTTGGAATAAGTAAACGAAATTAGAAGTACTAACAAATTACTCACCTGGTTTCAATGTTAAGGTAGATGTTCTCAATGTGAATGGTGATGACTTTTTTTTTTTTTTTTGATCAACAATTTATATAGCAGTGCTCAATGGCAGCCCGCTCGCTATCTACAAACACATACACTACGCGGCCTGGGTACTAAGTAAACTACTAAAAGACGTCTGCCCCCCCAACCACGAGCTTTATGGCTCAAACGCCGAGGCTCCCATAAAGCCAGACCCACCTCGCGAAAACGGTGACTTGGAATAAGGGGAAGAGACCATCGAGGCCCCGCTAAACCCCAAAGCCGTCGGACGCTGTTCGGAGGCCACGCAGCGCAAATGAGATAAGAACAGCACCACCCGGGAGGTGGCAGGGTGTCTTGAGGCCGACAAGCCAGAGAAGCGCCTGCCCGAAACCAGACGCAGAAAGTTAGCGGTGCCGCAACCCGCTATAATAGCGGCCGCAAGCGCGAAAGGATGAACCGGGCGCAGGTCTCCGGACCCTAAGGTCCGAGGGTGTCAATTCACCGATAAATCCTCCAAAAGGAGGAATAACCCCGCCCGAGGCGATTATCCGACCCCCGAAGGGTCCCGGGTGAAGCCAAACACCATAGGGTTGTACTTCATAAAAGCTGCAATGTCCCCAAGAAATCGGGGGTAGTGCACGGAGTAGCGATCGCGACAGTGAAAGAGAATATGCTGACGGGACTGCAAAGCAGCCCCGCAAGTGCAGCCGTGAGGCTCATTGATCTTGAAGCGACGGTAATACGCTCCAATGGGCGTGTGGCCAGTTATACACCGGCAAACGCGGGCGAACTCAGTGATACTGTGTCCGAAAGTTGAAAGCCAAGGTCCCCCATTGAGGTACGATGGCTGTAGCGGCCGCCCGTCAGGCTGTTGAAGCTCTAAAAACTCAGAGCCTCGGTAGGTTGGATCCTGGAAAGTGGAACCCCACGAATCCAGGACTGAGTGCGCCGCTCGAGAGGGTAGCGCATCTATGGAGTTGTCCGTCTTGCGACGTCCAACCCTGACTTTGAGCTTGGTGACATACTTGTGTGCTTCACCATGGATATCCCACCGCAGAGTGGATGGGACGTAAACGAAGGTAATGCGGCGGAGATCGTCTGCCTCAAACCACTCTTGAAGAACGCGACAAACTGACAGGCTAAAAGCCTGACCAGAATGTACGGAAGGGTCAACTGCTCTATGGGCTGAGCCCATGGAGTCAGTAAAGACCATGATATGTTGGCAGTTTGCCTGCTTGGCAGCAAGGCGTACTGCACACGAGATGGCATTGAGTTCCGCATCTGGGGTGGTAACTCTGCCAGAGACATAGCAAGTCCTTTCGAGCTCACGATGTCCCTTGTAGATTATGGCAGCTGAAGCCGCCTGATACTGGTTGGACTGAGGGACAGAGCCATCAGTTGCAGCCAGTACTGTCAGCGGGTCAGCCCTCGCTCTGGCGATGAGCTCGTCTAGATATGGGCGCCTATCCTGGGTAGGATCGCGCTCATCAAAATGGAGACGGTCCGCATAGCGGTCCAGTAACCGATCGCCTGGGCGAGCTTCGGGCGCAAAAGGCTCGAAGCTCTCAGTTAAGGTGTGGACACGCTCGTCCACCTCCATAACGGTGCTCTTGACTTTCCCTCGCATGGCTGGGGTCATCAAGGCGGCTGAGCGAGCATGTGGTGCGGCTCGCTTAAGGAGTCCCTCGCCCATCATAGAGCGAAGGGGGTGGGTGTCCGAGAGGGTGGCGACGCGATACACTGCACGCGTTGCCAGCTTCTTCAGCATAAGATGGACAGGAATGAGGCCCGCTAGAGCCTCAAGACCGCCTGTAGGTGAGGTGCGGAAGGCACCCGTGATCCATAGAGCAGCTTTACGCTGCATCCGTTTCAACTGGTTCATCGCACCCTTGTAACGGGCGCCGTCGAAATACCAGAGACGATAGCCGTATGTGGCAATGGGGACCACACACGACCGATATAAGAGGCGGCGCTGTTTAGGCGAGAGACCTCTGGTAGAGTTGCTGAGCATGCGCATGGCCTGCACAGTGGTAAACGCCTTGGTGGCGTAGTAGCGAACGTGCTCATGAAAGGTGAGCCCGTGGTCAAAGTAGAAGCCCAAGTACTTCCAATAGGTCTTCGGCTTCAAAGGTGTAGCACCGGTATGTGGGGCGTACCCCAGATCCAGCGAGGGATTGTAGGCATCTCAACGACGCGAGAAGTGAAACAACTTGGTCTTGTCGTGTTCAAGAACGAGCGCGAAGGCAACAAAGAGAAGGTAGATAATTTTGTAGGCCTTACGCAGGCCCACATTATTATCATCAAGTTGTTTGGATTGGGCCAGAATGGTCCCGTCATCCACAAAGGAAAGCAGCGTCATGTTGAGTGGCGCCGCCTTGATATAGAAGAGCTTCATTACCGGAGCAATGAACAGCCCAGAGATAACAGGCGAGAGAGCAGAGCCCTGCCTGACACCCACGTCCGCAGACCGTGAGTCGGATTGGAAGGTGTTCCAACAGTAAACTGTGGAGTGGCCTACAAGGTAGGAGGCAAAGAATTCCACCAGAACCGGTGAAAACCCTTGCTTGCGAAGTACAGCCATGAACATCTCATGGTTGATAGAAGGGAAGAACTGCGCGATGTCAAAAGCCAGCGCGCTAGTCTGGAGACCCTTAACCCACCCTGCTCGCATGAGATGAGTCAGAATCAATCCAGCATCCTCGGTGGACCTCTGGCGGATACCGCCAAGTTGATTGGGATGGAAGATATCATGTTTGACGGCGTCAAACTGTATCCTGTTGGCAATCATCTTCTTGATAAGTTTACCAAAAGTGATGAGGAGGACAATAGGCCTGAAAGCCTTCGGAACTGCATAGGAGGGCTTGTTCGGCTTTGGGACGATAACTGATAGCAACTCCTTAAACATACCTGGCCAATGCCCAACCCAGAGGCAAGCGTTGGCCAACATGATGAAGAGCGCAAGGACGTGCTTGTCCTTGAGCAGCTCCTTTAGGTGGACCCATGTGATATGGTCCGGTCCTGGTGCAGAGGAGTTGGAGCACCCCTTAAGGGCACTCAACAACTCATGCTCCGAAAAGTCAGCCCACTCGCGGACCGGCTCATTGGGAAGCTCATCTAAGACTGAGGCATCGTACTCGCGACCAGAGGCCAAATTGTACATGCTGTGAAGGGCGTCCCATAGGTCGTCCATATCGTGGCAAGGCTGGTTGCCATCGCGAATAGCCTCACAGGGTGGTAGCTTGCGCTGTTTGACCCATTCCATCAGGTCCCATGGGCGCTTGCGAGAGGTAGCAATTTCTGCGATGCATTCATCAAAGAAATCATCCTTGGCATCCTTACATGCCTTCTTAAACTTGTTGTAATCAGCGAGCGAGCGGCTCAACTGATATACGCTGAATGTCTCCGAGCACTCATCCGTCCACCAGGACTTGGAGCGCTTGGTAGGTTTGGACTTGGTCGAATGGACAAGCCATGCGTCCGAGAACGCTGTCGCGATAGCATCGGCTAAAGCTTCAACGCCTTCCTTGGTTGCCGGGGCTGCGACAGGAATAGCCGCAAGATCCCAGAGAATATCCGAAATGAAAGACTTCTCAGCCTCGCTTCTGGGTTTAATTGTCCGTCGCCCAGATCCGGGCGGTTCGGGACCGATATCAAGATCTGTGCAGATCAGGACATGATCTGACAGACCCTGGAGATCGTGCTCCAATCTGGGCATCGAGATTAAGATCTCAGATGGAGCTAAGAATACAAGATCCAAGACGTTGGATCTCTGGTTTGGTTTCTTTTTTTTTT